CCCCAAAACCCCAAAACCCCACTTTGTAAAAAGTCCTGATTAATATTGCTTCTTTAAATAATTTTATAATTCTGAGGATTTTAATTTAATAATCAAAATAACTGATAATATCATAACACCTTATAGTTTATTTTCTTGACATAATTGTCTGGCTTCTGTAATCCAAATGATCTAATATAATCTTTGCCCTTCTGAGCTAATAACTCCCATTCATTCTTTTTAGAATTAAATTTCTTTTATAAAATGTAGAGAGCTACCAATGTAATCCAAACTTACTCAAAAGCATCCTAATCCTTAATCAATTGCTTAATCTCTGAAATCAAAGCTTAATCGGAAAGTATATCTTCCTCAATGAAAGTTTAAATAATCGTGATATTTTTCCAAAACCCTAAACTTGTCTAGTCCATAATTAAATCATCATATGTTTTCGATTATCTCATCATTGAGCTTTTTTAAATTTAAGGAGGAATGTTTGACTGCATCATTTATCGTTAAGGAGGAGCACCTGGAGGCATTATCCCAATGGTAGGAATTTAGAGAGGAGGTGGGTTGATACTACTCATAGTAGGTGGCGGCATCATTTCTCTTTTCATCATAGCCATTTTTGGCATTTCTTTTTCTTCTTCTTGGTCAAATAATTTAGATCTTTTCATTGATTCAAAATTTTCTTGAGAATGGGCAATTGAACTAAAACCAAAACCTTAGAAGCTACCATGTTCTTCTTCGTCCTCAGATTATTCTTTAATAGCAGCTGCCATCTTCTTCATTCTCTTGCCTTTTGCTTTATAATTTGTAGATTAACTTTAAATCTGAGCTGATTTTTCTATTGGAGCTGATCCTCTTATATTCATCTAAAAAGATGAAGACTTTGGAGCAGAGCCCACATTAAAACTTCTTTGGTTTGATGTAGGAGCAGACTATTTAGAGCTACCTATATTAAACAATCCTTTGATACCACTACCAATCATACCAAGCAATGAAGGCTAACTACTCTTTTTCTTAACTGCAAATCCTTTACTTGAAGACTAACAAAACATTTGGCTTTTTTCCTCTAACTCATAAAGTTACTAAATTTGGTTTTATAATTAAACTTATCTAAGTTCTCCTACAGGCTTCTCATCATTCTTGTTAATTGCTAAGAATGAAGTATGCTTGCTTAAAACTTAGTATTTTAAGGATTTTTCTTGTATACTTTTTATGTCTATGCTATCATATCGCGATATTGGGTTAGAGAGTTCATTAATTTTCATTCTAGCAGCAATTTTGAAAAGTTCTTCTCCCTTATCTAATTATTTGAAATTTGCTTTAGTCCATTCATGATTTATCCCCTTATTTGAGACTGGATGAATATCACTTGATGCTTTTAGCTTAAGTTTTGAAAAGTCTTTCTTAGAGACTATTGAAAGCATTAAAAAGATTTCATTCCTGAATAATTCTATTCCAGTTGTGTTTGTAAAGTCATGTTTCATGTTGTTAACGCAAATGCTTGCTTAGGGGGCAAGATATAATTTGAAGTTGCTATAAGATGGATCTTTTGCTCTGCCAAGGGCTTAGATTACAATAGTTTTCAGGTCTTTATTTTCAAGGACTAAACTGCAGGATCCTCTACCTTTTCTCGCAACCTCTTAAACAAGTTTCACATCACAATCTCTTCCAACACCAATAGAATGTATTCTGATATCAAAGGGACATTTTTCAGCTAATTCTATGACTCTCTACCTGTTTTCTACTGCTCCATCAGTTAGCATAAATATTCTCTTTTAAAGTTTTGTAGTAATGCTCTAAATAGCGAATTCAAGTGGCTTGTAGATCTCGGTTCCTCCCATATTAGCACTGAATTAAGATACAGTTCTAATAGCGCTATCCATAGATTAATCATTGTAGTCTAAACCAGTAGTAGAATCGGAGAAAACTTTGTATTCAGAACCAAAACTAATAATTTCAAAGCTAGACCTAGGAGGCAAAGATTTTAGAAAAAGTTTAAGAGCCTCAACAGTTGTTGTCATCTTTCCACCTGACATTGATCCACTTCTATCGACCAAGAATATGTACATACAGTCACCTGGGTTCATCCTAAGGATCAGGCATTTCCTCTTCAAATGTCTCCAAAGATGGACTTTCAACAGTCGATTCAATGAAACTAGGAACAAAAGAAACCATAACTGCTACTTAATCAGGATGGCTATCTGACTCTTGAGAGTAGAGTACAGTACTTTCCATATCATTAGTCCTGTAGTATACCACCAAATCATTCTCAAGACATAGTACATTATCTTAAGCTTTTTCAATTTTAATGTGAAGTAAGTTTTCATCAGAAGTAGTTTTAATTAACTTTGAATTGTTTGGATAGCTTAAATATGTAACTGGGGAGTCAGAATGGATTTCAACAAAGAATTAATAGCTGTATTAGTTTTAAACTGAGCTGTAATTTGGGAAGTAGTGCAAAGGTACTCTTAGGCAATATGCCGCTCCTTCAATCTTCAAAATATTAAGGAGCTAGAGATGTAATGTTGCTTCTTGTCCTGGCAAAAGGTTACCTATTGTCAATTTGATGATTTCATCTTTTTAGTCGTCCTCTTAAGCCATTACAGCTGTGTGACCTTAAGCAACTGCGTCTTCGTACTTCTCTTAAGCTTTTTATTTCTCTAATATTCTGCCTTCAATGACTTTTTCATCAATTTGAATCATAAGTTTTCCGATTCCATAGTCTTCTTCAATTGGTACATTAAGAGTTACTTCTAAGGGTTGAGCAGTATCATTAAAGAATTTCTAGATTATTTCTATTGTTGCTATTGAATTCATTATTCTGGCATTGACTATTTAACTTTTAAGAGGCAGTAGATATTAGTTTCCGTTAAAATCGCTAAATAACTGGCAGCATATCTTTTTCTTTAATCTTTCCATATGGATTAGAATTTTACTCTAATTTTAATTTTTTTAGATTTCAGAAATTAATATTTATGCTAAAACTATCTCAATACCTGATGAAAAATTATTATTTTACAGTTTTTCCTAGTCATATTAATCAGAACTTATTGTAAGTGCCCTTTATATCATTAGGGGTTTTGGGGTTTTGGGG